AACTAATACCCTGTCTAATGATACCATTATGACTGAGCAGCAGGCTTTTCAAAAATTATTGTCAAAATCGTTTTGTTCCAAAATAACAGAATAACTTCATTTTATATTATTTTGGGTGAGATTCTCGACTCATGAATTGCTAGATGTACCGTGTGAGTCAAAAAAAAGTTTACTCCTAGAAAATTTATTTTATAAATCATCTATGAACAGTAAATTATTGTACATCTAATGAAGGGGTTTTATCCCAAATTATTTGATGTCATTTTTGTGTGGTATGTGTTCACGCTTGGATGAACAAGAGGCATTGCTTGCGAGAGTGCAAAAAATCGACTTGAGCCAAAGTGATGCCTACAGTATGTATTATGTTGGGATTAGCGGAGTGAGAGAATGAACTGAATGTTTCAAATGACATGCATTGCATATGCTTTTTGCAGAAGCAAAGTCACACACACGTGTACAAATGTTCGTTGATACTTGATATTCGATGTTTGATATGTGTGGCATGATTAATTTAATTAATTAATACCCAAATCCCAATTTTTCTTATTCAAACATCACGTAAGCAACTTTGGCGCAAGTCGACTCAGGGGCGGATCTAGCTTTTTGCTAAGGGGGGGGGGGTTTGACCAAAATAATGACGATGCAGAGCATCGTCCACGAGCCGCGAAGCGGCGAGCCGATTTTTTCGGGGGTGTTTATTTGAACCCCGTAAGTGATGTTTTCCTGGCATCTATTAACACAATGGAGACCATAAAAAGCAGTGCATGATAACGTCTTTTTAAATCAAGTAACAGTTTAATACACAGTTATATCCAGAGTTATCATGTGTTTGGTTAAGTTACCAGATGAGTTGAATGTCTTCTCACAATATTTGCATTTGAAAGGGTTTCTCTCCAGCGTGCGTTCTTTTTTCTTTTTTTTTTCTTTTTTTTCCTTTTTTTTTTTTTTTTTTTTTTTTGTGCCGCCCAAGGGGGGTTTTAAACCCCCTAAACCCCCCCCCCCCCGTAGATCCGCCTGCGACTTTTGCACTATCGCAAATAATGCCTCCTGGTCATCCAAGCGTGAACACATATTTTGTAGCAATTGGTTAAAAACTAAGCATGATATTTGACATTGCCACCATGCGTCCCAGTTTATGACTAGATTGAATATCACACAAAAATGATACCGATAGATTTGGGATAAAACACTCTCTCATAAGATGTATAATTTACTGTTCATAGATGATTTTTTAAATAATTAGCAATTTTCTAGGTGTAAACTTTTTTTGACTCACACTGTATGTATAATAGTTATCACATACACCATATAACCGCTATTGCATTCTATACGGTGTTCAATAAGTTCGTTCCGCCCCCTACAGAAAAGCATTTCATTGTGTTTAAAACTCAATTTGCACCATGCATTTCAGGTTATTTTGTGTGTTTTTTTTTCATTTCTAAGCATTATTAGAGATGTCACTTTATTAAAAATGTGTCGCTCCTTGGTGGACGATCACCTGTGGAACACGCTTGGTCCAGTTGTCGTCCACTAATGACGCAGGGAGGTCCTTATTCATGTCTAGGCTTTTCTATGCTCGCCGGATTCCCTCTTTAAGTTGAGTTATTGTTTTGCAGTATTGAGTTTCAATATTTTTTCTTTCATAATAGTCCATAGTTTCTCTATGGGTTAATTTCTGTCAAATTTTCTGGCCAGTTATCTTTCCTTCTCCAAGCTACTGTTGGTCTTCTTGGGCGCCATCTTTAAATGTCTGAGGTTTACAGACCTTTAAATTCATCCTTTTCAATGTTTGACCTCGTATCTCAGCCCAGCAAAAGGAGTGGTCAATTTCTGCAGGCTGGATGCATTAGTATACATCCAGTACATGTACATTTGGTTGGTAACAGATTGCGCTATTACTAAAGTAGTCATATGAGCAGTTGAGTTGGCAGATAGGGGCAGAACGAACTTTTTTAACACGGGATACATGGTCTTCTGAAAAATTACTTAAGGATTCACAAAATCGGCATGTCAGTCTTGTAAGCATTCTGATAATTTTGTAGGGTTCAAAAGGCCTACATTATTGGTCTCGTGGGCTGTCTATATAATCCCACCTAGATCAGAGGAAGAACTTTTTTTTAATTTATCTTTCTTTGATTATATTGAAATATTTATCTTTACCAACATTTAACCATGCCGTCAGATGGAGGGAGGTGTCAAAGAATATTCAATAGTGTGTGTTTGTGTGAGTGTGTGCGTGTGTGTGTGTGTGTGGGGGGGGGGGAGGGGGTGCCCATTCATACATTTCTGAAACATCACCGAGTATAGAAGTACTCATCAATTTAATTCAGCACTCCTAATCATTTGAATTGTCAGCTTTACGAAATGTCAAATCACTATAGTCCAGTTTATATAGGATACTGGCCAAAATTAGGGGGGGGGGGGGAATATCCATAAAATACACATTTTCGGCTCCAAATTTATACTTCACACACTATATATAACTCAATGAAATTGATACCAACTTGAAGATATTGTAATTATCCATCATTATGCATACATGCCAACTGTTCAGATTAAAGAGGAACATTCCTCTTTTTGGGAGAAGATAATTATCATTTTAATGCAGGTGTTTCTCTTCCTGTACAAATTTGTCTGTAGTATTGAATAGGAGAGTTAGGATTGTTCCTCTTTTTTTTGAAAATAGCATAATTTGTACAGATTTCTGATTTTCAAATGTTGGCATGTATGCATATGACACTAAACCCATGTTGATTTGAGGTTTTACATAAAAGATATCCATAAGACTCGATTTGAACACACGAAACACGTTTTTTTTTTTTAATCGAGCAGATAACTTCGGGTTGTAATAACATCTCACCGAAAAGAGATATAAGCATCTCCTTTTATACAAGATATTGTACTAGTGGGCGAAATTCAGAAAGTTTAGAATAACAAATTATGGAAATGTTGATATATGGAACCTTTTTTCGGAAAAATTCAATTTGTTTTAATACAAATTATATAAAATCATGTTTATTACATTCAAATGTCGATGTTAATCCCAATTTCGTCACAATTTGTATCAAAATATGGATATAACTTAATTCTTATTTATGTGACACCAAAATCACGGCGGTTCAAATTAACAAAATATTTGTTTTCGTCAACAGGCGGACTTTTTAATGCCCCTCCGATTTAAGGGTGACCGCCACAAAGAAAACACCACAAAAAATTCGGCTCAGAATTTATATTAGACACACTACATAACGCAATAGAATTGAAATCGGCTTGTAGAATTGTAAATAATCCATCATATTATCCATCATATCCATCACCCATGGTATTATGAGGTTTTACTAACTTACTTTACTTTTACTTTATCAGCCGTTTTCAATCCACTGCAGGAGGAAGGCCTCAGCATGATGTTTCCAAATGCCTCTGTTCAGCGCATGTTGGTGCTAATTTGTCTGTCCCCAGAACTTACATACTTCCCATAACACTCGATTTAACCACATATATTTATTGTGTATTACAATGAAATCTTACGAATAAACAAGGTCTGCATAGTTTGTAGCAATCAACTTAAAGGTAAAGACCAGTTTTGGAAACGCCCCAATTTCAAAAAATGAAATGGAAGCTCTCATTACCAATCATGTGAAAGAATATGTTTTGACTAATACATGATGATACAAAATTTGCCGGGAAACCGCCTACTAATTCATATATTTGGTAAATTTGTTTCTCTCATGGACTGTGAGAGATATAGGGTAGTCCCATATACATCTTTCTGTGTACAGTGCTTGTAACTTTACGAAGAATGGGCCAAATTTCTTATCATTTTGATGATTCCAGAACCTTGCAGATGCTAGATGCTAGATGATCAACCTTTTCTGATCGATTCCACAACGTTTCTTTCACAATGCAATCGCATGACCATAACTGGTCTTTACCTTTAAAAACTTAGCATGATATTTGACATTGTCACCCTGCGTCCCGGTGTATCACTAAATTGACTATCATACTTGTATTCATCATCATGTTTATATTGACATTAAAAGAACGAATGAAGTGGCATCTATTTCTATTTATTTATATATGTATTCATTTACTTATTCTGTGTTTTGTATACATGATAATTTCCTCAATACATCAAAATTGCGATGCAACAGGACTTTGTATAACATGATATAGTTGAAAGACAATGTAAAACAAATAAATAAATAGTTAAAAATAGTAAAATATTAAATCAGATATAGACTGGTAATTAAAACAAGTAAACATTTGAATACGACACACATGCAATTCAGCTAAAATATACTTTTATTGATACAGATAAAATACAAGATTGTGTAAAGCATTGCCTTGTCCCTTTCTCGTCTCTGTTGGCACCCCCCTTTTTCTTTCCCCTATTAGTTCCTTTTGTAGTTACGGATTAGGTAATTTAATTACTCAAGTATCATTTGAGGTGTTCACACTTGTACAAGCATTGCTTTTTAGTGGACCCCTCTATTTTCAAAATGTATTTCTTACATTTGTTTTAAATGCTAATAATCGATTTGTAATGTGTTTTGGGGGAAATATGAATGAATTGAAATTAAATTACTCATCGTATTCATCATTCCATAACCTCATTGAGATTATATACTACACATACCTTTCCCATCTCACCTTAAAGATGTACGAGTCATCTTGTGTCTCTCTGTTGGGGTCAAACACGTTGCTATCTGCTTATCAACAGAAGTCCATATACCCATATGTTTTACCTCTCTCTGACTAGGCGTTGTGGCGTGCGCCCGTAATCCTGCTAACAGTGGAAGTTACAAACTGATTCAGGCGAGGACGCAGGTTCGAAACTGAGTCACGTCTTTCGGATGATGACGTTTTTAAAGGTCGGTCCCCAGACGTAAATAATCATATCTGATTGATACACTTCTGTAAAAACCCAATACACACACACTCTCTCTCTCTCTCTCCCCCCCCCCCTCTATTATTGTATATGATATATCTATATAAAATTATCTCTATATCAAATAGGGATATATTGGACCACCACCGAGGGATCTACACTGCTGTTTTAAGGCAGTCCCCTAGCTGAATCTTAACAGCAAATTGTTTTTCCAACTCAAGATAGATCTTGAATTCTAAAGGCATTTTGTGGGCATTTGTTGTGTAGTTCAAAGGATCTGAGTCATAATAATGATACATTAACGTTTTGTTACGGGAATCAACATAGAATGGATAGAACCCATACATAGTAATCCGTTCACAGAATAAAGATGCTGCCGACAGAAGTAGAAGACCAGTGGAAGGCGTTCGTTTCTTCCATATCCTGTCACAAGAGTACACAACAAAAAAAAGGAGTATTGGTCATTAATATCATGTAGATTGTGAAAAATACAAATTGAAAACTAGACTTTAATTCGTCACTTTGACGAATTAGGTGATACGTATGCTCATGATTTACATAATGAAGTATGCATTTTCACGATGTCATATTGTTATATAAAATGCTTCTCCCATTATGATCTATCCATATGTCAAGTTTCTACTGTTTAGCCTTGATCATTATGGATGTATGGAAGATATATTGAGACGATTTGACCATTGACCCTAATTAACATAATGAGGCCTACACATACACATTACATATTCTGTGGTAAGAATGAAGTAAGCGAGGGAAACTGAAGGCAATGACAAACGAGTGAGAGATTAAGTTTCCTTTAAATCAGACCCAGTACTGAGGATCTTTTTATGTGCCATGTTTTTGTTATTTGACGGCTTTTGCCGCTACATAGAAATGCCGTCTTTTGTCACCAACTATTGTTCAAATAGCATTGTAGAGACGATGAACAACTACGAACGCAAAGTCGTAAGCCATGAGAATGTCAATTTCTATCTCGTTCTGCTAGATAACCCGAACAATAGAATCCCCCAAGTGGAATCAAATGTTCCACGAATTAATCATGAGTTCTGAAATTTCAATTTGGTACTGCACGTCATAATAGTATTAAAAAGCAGCAATGGCGAACGGTTGTTGCTAAAATTCAGAAATTGTTGCTTAGATTGCTTAAATTATAATGAGACATCAAGCTTCAAAGAACTATGATCGACAAACATGATATTGTTTTGAAAACAGTCTGAAAAATTGGAGGTAGAATGAATAAGAGATAATGTGGTCATGTAAACAAGTGTATTGTGTCCATCTTAATCCCCTTGTTCCAAAATCATGATTGTATTCTCTATTTATTTCTCCTATATAATTCATTTCAATTTAAAATAGAAATTCTAATGTTTCTTCTTTTGGCTTGATTATTTCAGCAACGAATTGACAGTTTTGGTAGACATCTTGGATGTATCATAGCAATAAATTCTTGGCACATGACGTATTGTGTATACGATACTTATGATGAGAAGAAGAAGCATACAAATAGCTATAAGAATGATAATACAAAATAAGCTTTATAATAATGATTATAATTACGATATTTACTATAATTATAAATATAACAATGATTATTATGATACTGCTGCTATTACTACTCCAACTACTACTACTAGGAAGTCAAGTAGAAGATGAAGAAGAAAGGGAAGGAGGAGAATCGTTTTAGCGAAATTAGTGGTTATATTCTCTATATATGATTGAGGCATACACTCAAATTTAAATCATGATCAAACAGGCATCTGAAGTTTTTAGATGCTTACTATTTGCTTCATGTTATTGAAAATCGCCCCCGACTGGATCGCACCCTGCTTCCCTGCATCAACGAACAAACTTTGAGAAAAGATTTTTGTCTCCCTTTAATTCAAAGTCGTTTTACAAACTTTTGACCATCGAATAATACCCGCATTCATTCAGCTAAACTTGACACGAGGTTATTTTTGGCTAATTGTTTATCGTGTATTTTGTAGAAAGATACAAACCCTAGTGTAATTTAAATAACGTTGGAAATTTGGAATTGAATTCTGGCCTTTAGCGAAGAAAACACGTTAAGATGACAAAAAGTGCGAGGTAGTTTCCACTGCTTGTGGGATCATACAATATGTCATCTAAATCGGTTGCCTGTAGGTCTGGAGTATCAAAGGTCGATAAATTTAAGATCTGACAAATTTGAGGCATAAAAAAGAATCAAAAGCAGTTAGAGACAAGACATCTCCAAGTCTCCAGCGGTAAGACAATTAATGACAAGCACAATTGAAGACCAATCTAAGACGCGTTTATAGTGACGGCATACTTCAGTGGGACGTTTAAAATTTTACTGCGATCATTTTAGCTCGATCGGCATCACAAGTGCATGTAAAAACTGAAGTTTGATTTGGACTCGTAGTTTTTTACCACGAATTTCGTTATGATCCCGTCATCAAAATGGAAAATAAATGTCACAAGTAATTTAAAAAATAACCTCAGCAACAACATAATACATTTTTTAAAAGAAATTCGAATAAAGATGAACGATTCATGGTCCAACGTGCATTGTTATTAATTACTTAATCAATTAAAATCTATTAACATTAAAAGTTGAACGAGCAATATGATGTTGTCGGAAAATCCGATAAGCCAAAAAGATGTATGGAATAATATATACGACTCATACTTAATCCATTTATTAAAAGAAATTGGATTATCCGGGCACTTATAGAAGTTATGACCAATTAAACATAGGCATGTTTTTGTTTTAAATTGCAAATGTGTGCGCGCGCGTGTTAATTCGTCACTTAGACGAATTAGGTGATACGTATGATAATGGTTTACATAACGAATAATGCATTACACGATATATTATTTTATAAAATGCTTCTCCCATTTATATGCTTCTCCCATTATGATCTATCCATATGTCAAGATTAAATTGTGTCTCCTTGATCATCATGGATCTAGGGAAGATAGATTGAAACAATATATGACCTTTGACCCTGTGCAGTAACCAGTTACACATTTGACTCTAATTTACATCATGAAGAACACCTTTTGACGATTTTATCTTATTCAAAGAAATGAAAATGTAATTGATAAATGATTATCATCATTATGATAATGATGATGATGATGATGATGATCCTGATCATGATCATGAGCGCGATCCTGACATCTTATTGAAAAAATAAGGGTTGATTTAGATAGCATATAGTCTCAGCTACAACATACTCAAAAATCAACAAAATCCAAGCAGAAATAACGGCGATATTGCTCGCAAAAGACAGGAATGTAGAATCCAGATTTGAGAAAAAGTCATCTCCCTTAGGGATTACACGCAAAAAGTAATGGATTAAGTGAAAATAGGGTAATAATAAAGAAAAAAGGGTTGTTTATGACATTATTTGCGATTCTACGTGTTTAAATAATCAAAGGAGATGGTACAGTGAAAGGTCAAAAGGAAAAAAAAGTGGAGAAAAAATTGATGGAGACACCCGGACTCGAACCAGGGATCTCGAGGTTGGAAGTCGAGTGCGTTACTGATATACCAAAACATCTCCCATAGCGATTACACGTAAACGGGAAATGGAATTCTGAAGTCCTACTTTGCAAGTAAAATATGAGCATGATCCCGGCATATGATCGAAAATTAAATGCCACATTTATGATAGCTTATTGTCTCAGCTACAACATACTTGAATCTCAGCATAAAAAAAAGCTTAAACAGCGGAGATGTTGCTCGCGAAAGACGGAAATGTAGAATCCAGTTTTGAGAAATAGTCATGTCCCATAGACAATACACGCAAAATGTGAAAAATTGACATGCCTCCTTTAATCGCAAAAATACGACATGATTCCTTTGTCAAACTGGAAAATTGTGGCTACTGCATTTGTAGAAAATTATTTCAGCTAGAACATATCAAAATTTGGAAGAAAAACAATCAATATTTACAGAGAAACAATCAATTTTCCAAAAATATGCAAACGTCATAATATGCAAATTTAAATTTTGAGTTCGGAGGTCATTATGATGACATCATGAGTTAATTGAGGGTCAAATTAGACTTGAAATCATATTTCCATTTCATAATCTATCCACATATGAAAAAATATTGGAAGTTTCTATCTATTCTGAAGAGTTACAAAGAATTTTGTATAGGCATGTTTTTGCTCATGTATTGTGGATAAAGATAACGCAGGTCCGCGCGCGCTGTCAACTTTGACGGACGCTCATGTAGTTATTAAAAGATTAACAAGTTATCAAAATGCTTGGAAAAATGTGCCAAATATGATGATAGAGAAAATTCGGCGATTCTATGTTGCAAAATGCTAGTACGCGCAAAAAACGCGCGCGCATGCGCGTGAGCGTGATTTTTTGTCAAATGCTCCATATGGCCTGAAACGTATGGAAAAAAATTTTTGGGATGATTCAGAGCATTTTAAATTTTTGAGCGCGTAAACGCGCGGACGAACGCGCACGCGCGCATTTGCGCACGTTTATTGACCTGAAATTGACCGGACGGATATTGATCTTAATCCTGGTAAATATGAATGAAAAATGGCTTTCCGTTATGAAGATATTATCATAAGTTGATTTTCACAAAATGGCGCCTAGATGACGTCACGATGACCTTGACTCTCTGAAAAGTCACACAGTTCTAAGTTAGACTAATATCTATCATCATGGCAAGTTTAATGATAATGGCTTTATTCAGTCTTGAGATATCTTGCGAACAAATTCGAGGAAAAATAAAAAGAAAAATCTTGACGAAATCAATAGGTGATACGTAGACTTCGTTACGTATCACCTAACCAGACTTTAATTCGTCACTTAGACGAATTAGGTGATACGTATGATATTGGTTTACATAACGAAGAATGCATTTAATACACGATATATTATTTTAGAAAAATACTTTTCCCATTATGATCTATCCATATGTCAAGTTTAAATTGTGTCGATCCCTTGATCATTATGGATCTAGGGAAGATAGATTAGTAACCGGTTACACCTTTGACTCTAATTTACATCATGAAGAACACATTTTGACGATTTTATCTTATTCAAAGAAATGAAAATGTAATTGATAAATAATTATCATCATTATGATAATGATGATCATGATGATAATGAAGATGATCATGATCATGAGCGTGATCCTGATATCTTATTGAAAAAAATGAGGGGTGATTTAGATAGCATATAGTCTCTGCTACAACATCCTCAAAAATCAACAAAATCCAAGCAGGAATAACAGCAATATTGCTCGCAAAAGACAGAAATGTAGAATCCAAATTTTAGGAAAAGTCATCTCCCATAGGGATTAGACACAAAAAGTAATCGTTTAAGTGAAAATAGGGTAATAATAAAACAAATAGTTTATTACATTATTTGCGGATCTACGTGTTTAATAGTC